ATCAAAGCCAGAAACCTGATAAAACATAGGTATAGTGCACAGGGAGGACTTAAACCTGCTGGGCGACTTTCTCACCACCGTGGGAATTTTAAGAGACTTCATAAGAATTAAAATGCTGCACATAATTTATTTTAGCTTCTGGCTTTTCTTTCCAGGAGTCAAATCAGTGCAACTTCTGTCTGCATTTGATTCAATGTAGTAACAACCCTTGATTTGCAGACAGGCTTCGCCTAGCTACCCTATCGGAGATGAAGAAGGTGCCTTCTCTTCATGGAGGGGGGGAGATAGAAGGAAGCAGGTTTTTGGTAACTACTAGTGAAAACCAAGTCAACAGTTGATTGAGTGCAAGATCAGCAGTTTGGATTGATGGAGCTGTCTCAACAGTTGGGAGCTCCAAAGGACAGGCAATTGTAGCACAAGACTAGTCAGTTTCCTCTGCACCCCCAGAACACAGGCAGAGTGGACCCCTGTGGTCCCCGACAGCAGGAGCTCAGCACCTGTGAGCTGGACACTCACACTGCACTACCGTATCTTCCTAACAGAGCTGAGGGCTTGCCCCATTCTCTCTCCCCTCTCTCTCCATTCATCCATATCATTTTTAATTGATAAAGACTTAAAAAAACAGAACCACAATACCATTAATATAAGCAACAAAATCAATAACAGTTATGTAATATCATCTAATATTCAGTCTATGTTCAATTTTCCCTGGTTATCTCAAAACTGTACTTTAGAAATGGTTCAGTCAAGTCACAAACCATATCCATACACTGCATTTGGTTAATATGTCTCTTAAGATTCTTTTAATTTAGAACAGGCACCAGAACATTTTATGTCTTCATTGAGTCTTTGAATTATTTTTAAAAAAATATTTATGTATATATTACGTACATAAATTCTTGCAGGGCAGTGAAAAATGTTTTTCCAAATAGTGCTAAAAGGTACATAATGAAATATCCCTCAGTTTCCCTCCCCAGAAGCAAGGTTACCAGTTCCACACATAACCTTCTAGAAATAGTCTCTGCCTACATGAGCATGCCTGTCCCTGAGGTGGTTAAGAGCAAAGACATGAGTTCAGATCTCTGTTCTGCCACTTACTAAGTCTATTGTTCTTTGAAGACGTTTCGTTTTACTAAGTATAAATCTTGGGCATGTTATATGGCCTCTGAGCCACAGTGTTTCCTCTGGGAGGTGGGACTAATAATAGTCTTAAGGGTTTGTTAAGAGAATTCAATCAGGTAACTAAAGTACTTAAGTAATTACTCATTACTATATACATTCCCCTTTGGCTTACCCTTAAGTGATACAATGATGCACATTTCTCTTCACTTGTTTGGTTTGTTTTTTCATTTTGCACATTTGGTGATAATTCCATACCTGTTCTCATAGATTCGCTTCACTGTTTGTAATCACTGACTTATATTCTGTTGTATGGATGCCATACTGATAGATATATAAGTTATTTCTAATCCTTTGTTTTACAAAAAAGCAAAACACTGCAATGAATATACTTGCTATATTTTATAGGATTAGTGTGCAAAACATCCATAAGGTACACTCCTGGAAATAAAATTGTTCAGCTCAGGAACATGTGCATGTCAGTGCCCAACTGCCTCCAAGGAAGCGTAACATTTACACTCCTAAGAAAATGCACAAGGTCCCCATTTCCCTACACCCAGCTCCCTGGAACATTGCGGAAAGCCTCGATCTTCGTTAATATGATTTGTGAAAAGTGGTATCTCCTAGGCTTGTAATGTACATTTATTTCTCTTATTGTGAGAAAATAAAAGAAATATAGTGCAACTAAACCTCGGCAGTCAGATGACCTGCCCCAATTCCTGAGTTCGACCCGCGTGAACACTGTCAGCTGCAAACGCCCTGTGGGCATTTGTGAAGCAGGCGCCCCTCTCCCCCACGAGGCGAGGAGCGCTTTGCGCGTGGACCGAGGCAGGCAGTTACCCCCGGCGGTGAGGGTTTGTTCTGAACCCACGCACCCCTCACCGGGCCCCTTTCTGACCAGGGCCTGGCCCAGGGTGGGGCGCTGACCCCTCCTCTCTCCGGGAACACTGCCTCCCCTGGGCCTCCCCACTGTCCCGCTGCCGGGTTTGCTCCCAACTCGCAAGCTCCCTTTCTCATCGCCTCAGCCACCTTCTCCCTCCTGCGTGGGAAAACACGGGGGAGCCCCAGGGCGCCTTCCCAGCCTCTCTTTCCTCTAACTACAGCTTCTCCCTAGATAACCTGTCCATGGCTTTCTGCCAGGGCCAGGGCGAGGCCACTGAGGCAGCTAGGACATAAAAGTTAGGGAGGCCTTCACTCTCAGGCTCCGCAAGCGCAGGGCTGGCCCGGAGAGAGACCGTCTCCTTGCATTTTATACCCCAGCTCCACCTGTCACATACCCCCGCCTCCTCCCTGCACCCCCAGACACATGGATCCTGTTCGACACCTCCACTTGGTCTTAAACATGACCCAGGCTTAAAACAGAGCCCTTGCCTCCCTTCTCACTCCCACCCCAAACCTGCTCCTTCTATTTCTATCTCGGTTAATAGCATCGCCATTTGTTCAGTTGCTCGGCTGAAAATCCAGGAGTTACCCGTAATTCCACTCTTTCTTCAAGTCCTGTCTTCTATCTCCAAAATATATCCCAAATCTGACCACCTCTCACCACCTCTACTCCCACTCCATTGGGCCAGGCCCCGTCTCTGGCCACTGTATGGGGCCACCCAGGGTCTCCCCTCCCCTCCCCTTACACTCACGACTCAGCGGCCAGAGCAATATTTTTACATCATTGAGATTGTGTCACTCCCCTACTTAAAACCCTCCAGTGGCTTCCAAATGAATTTAGAATTAAAAGAAGACTCCTTCCCATGCTCAATAGACCAGGACCTAGCAGGGGCAGCAATCTGAGCTCAGCAAAGTGATCTCTCTTCCATCTCCCCTGTTCACCAGGCTCACTGCTCCCTCCTGCCCCGGCTGTGCTCCTCTCCCTGGAGTGCTCTTCCCCAGATGTTCACCAGGCTCACTGCTCCCTCCTGCCCCGGCTGTGCTCCTCTCCCTGGCGTGCTCTTCCCCAGATCACTACAGCCACTTCCTTTCAACATTCAGCTGTCAGTTCAGGTGTTCCATTCCTGACACCCAATCACTCACCCAGTCACTGCCAGTCCCTTTACCCTGTTTTATTTCTCCATAGCGTTGTCGCCATCGGAAAGTGTCTTATTGTTATCACTGCACAATAACTCCCTTAAAGCCCAGGGGCTTCAGACAAAAATTTAAGTTCAGCTGGACAGTTCTTGACTGAGTCTCTCCTACCTTTATAGTTAAATAGCAGCCAGATTGATGTCACCTGGAGACTTTGCTGGCCAGAAGTCTAACACTCTTCCCCCCAGGCTTGGTGCTCCTCCAGGGGGGCCCTCTCTCCAGGAGAGCAGCCTGGACCACTCCCGGGAGGCAGCTCAAGCCTCCAAAAGGGAACCAGTGGGAGCTGCCGGTCCCCTCAAGGGCTAGGTGCATAACTGGCACTGGTGCCTGCTGCCCTATTCAGGTGCTCCGTCATAGGCCAGCTCAGGTGCAAGGGGACTGAGGAATAAATTCTACCTCTTAAAGGGGAAGTTATGTTGTGTAAAAGAAGGAAAGGAGTTGATGATGGCCATCTTTGGCAATAAGGTATCACATTTGTCTGTCTACTTGTTAATTGTCTATCTACTCCCATTAGGTTATAAACTCCACAGACAACAGGGACTTTGTCTATCTTGTTTGATGGTTCCACTTCCAGCACCTGGAAGAATGCCTGGCACATAGTAGGTGCTCAATAATTAAACACTAAATGTTTAGGAAACTAAAAGGGACTGAAATAGACTTCCCCAGATTGGTTTTGTCAGGTTTGCTGATGTTAAGCATGCTGATGCCTCAGCAGATAAGAGAAACCCTCCATTTAGAAAGCATTTCATTTCCTCTGCAAACAAGAAAAACTTACCCTGAACACGAAATCTAGAAATAGACTTGGCGTGTTTTCCAAATGGAAAATATTTCTTGTACCACCAGAAATTATTTTCCCACAGCTTGTGCTACATCAAAATATTGAAGTTGACTGCAAATATCCTTTTCTTTAAAGCAAAGGAAATATGAAAACCTCCTGTTATTTGAACTCTCCCAGAGGTCCCCAAACTGAAAATGTCATTGTAAGTTAAGATAGAGTTAAATAAAATAGATGATGGCTGAGAAATGTCAGTGAAAGTTTTGGTCATTGGCCTGGCCTGTGTGGCTCAGTTGGTTAGGGTATTGTCCTGTACACCAAAAAGTTGTGGGTTTGATTTCCAGTCAGGGCATATACCCAGGTTGAGGGTTCAGTCCCTGGTCAGGTCGTGGGAGGGTGTCAATTGATGTTTCCCTCCCTCTCTCTCTCTCTCTCCCCCTCCTTCCCTTCCTCTCTCTAAAAATAAAAAATAGCCCGGCTGGGCGGGGCTCAGCAGTTGAGCATCAACCTAGGATCCAGGAGGTCACAGGTTTGATTCCCAGTCAGGGCACATGCCTGGGCTTCGGGCTTGATCCCCAGCAGGGGGCGTGCAGGAGGCAGCCGATCAATGACTCTCATCATTGATGTTTCTCTCTCTCTCTCCCTCTCCCTTCCTCTCTCTGAAATCAATAAAGATATATTTTACAAAATAAAAAAATTTAAAAAATTAAATTAAAAAAAAAGTTTTGGTCATCAAACTTATGTACAGTTTTTGGTTATAAAGCCAGCATTTGCTTATTGAAGGAATTACATGACCAAAGCAGAAAACAAATTCCCTCAAATCTCTCCTTTGCTAGTTTTTACTGGTGAGTTGTATAAAATAATCCCGTGTTTAAATCATTTTATAAATCCCTTATAAATTAGTGAGAATGTATTCATCTGAAGGATTTTAGTGATTTGTTGAAGTTAAAAATACAGGTCTTATGTTTTTAAAATTACACTTGCAGACAACTGCTAGTTAAATTTCTTCTCATCTTTGTGTTACCTCCAGTTTTCCCAGATTTGCTCAAAGCGATCCCAGTGAGTATCCACGCCAATGTCATTCTCTTCTCCATGATCCTAATTGTCCTCACCATGGCAGGGACGGCCCTCTTCATGTACAACGCTTTCGGCAAGCCCTTCGCAACTCTGCACGGCCCACTAGGGTTGTATCTTCTGAGCTTCATCTCAGGTAAGAACCGTATTCTACCCCTGGAGACAAGTGTGTTTTCAATGTCAAAAGATAGGTCTACTCAAATATAGAGCTGCCGGGTAGATCCATAAAGGTTCACAGTAGCATTATATATGATAGCAAAAAGTGGAGAAAAATATAATTATCCAACAGTAGGGACTTCAATAAATACGGTAGTCTATGCAAATAATACGATGCTAACATTAAATTCTATTTTTGAGTGAGATGTAATCAAAAGGATAAATGTTTGTATCAAAAAGTTAAATGGAAAAAAAGCAGTATATAAAATTTTTTAAACATGGAACTAATTTGATTTATATATATATATAGAGAGAGAATATATACAAGTATATATTTTATATATACTCCATATAGCCTCCATATATAGTACATAAACATATAAAGACAGAGAGAGAGACCATTCTGCTGGTAAGCAGTGAAATTTTCTATGAGCAGTAAAATTATAGGTGATTTTAATTTTTTCTCATACTTTTTAATATTTACAAATGTTCAGTAATGTGCATTTATTTACACATAATCAGAAAAATAAATAAAAATCATCAAAAACAGCAAAGGATGAGTGTTGCACCCACATGCGGTGCTGTCCCCAGGCCCGCAAGCAGTTCATGTGGCCTAAGGGCAGGTGCGTCTGGGCGAGGGGAAGTTCCAAACCCGGACATCAGCCCGGCAGTAAACCTGGGCTACTCGTAGCCAGGCTTGATGGAAAAGGGAAAGAAATCTAGCCAGGGCCACAGGGTGCTTAGGATATGTTTACAAGGAGGGAAAAAATGAGAAAATACAATACGTAAGTCCTCTGTAGCCATTTTCCTATAGGATGTCTCTGATTTCCTCCAACTCTAAAGTTGCAAAAAGACTCAATATTCTGTCACATTCCCAGGAAGGAAGTAGCTTTACTAATGATTTCACAGAGAGATTCGAGAGATCACATCGCACACCAGCAAACAGCGCATTGCAGACCCCCATTCTCCCCATTTCATTCTCCGCTGTCGCCAGGCCCAGGCCCCTTCTTTCTCTTGACATCACTCCCTTCCCTCTGCATAATTCCACTCCAGCCACAGACTTGCTTAGCTCCCTCTGTGTGAACAAAGGCTGGTCATCAGCAGGCATTCGAGCCTCCAGCCGCTATTGCTTGAGTTCCTTTCTGGTCTTATGCCACCCTCATCTTGACAATCAAATGATACACCCTACCAAAGTAGTTGTCTCTCTGGTGGGGGTTCTGCTAATATTTTTTCCAGATCTTTCACAAGCAGATAATTTTCAATTGTGCACCGATGATTACCCTGGGAAGGCAGAGTCCAAGTCTTTCTAATCGTTTATCTCTAGCAAGAGCATCCAGCATGAGGCTCTACACACAGTAAACCATTCAGTGTGGATCGTGGACTTGTAAAAGCAAGCCGGGAAGATGTTAACCTGGTCACTTAGTACAGTCCAGGTTAGAGAAACCGGAATTCAAATGGCTTGGAATTAGCAGAGTAGGCCCATAGAGGCGGTGGGACATGAGCCAGAGGGGACGGAAGATGGTAAAGGAAAGCCAAGGGCTTTGCAATCGGGCCAGAGGAGCAAGGGCATAGGTACAGGGTGTGGAGGGACAGCCCTAGATAGTGACTGGACCTCATGGGAAGGTCGAGGTCAGAAGTAGGTGTTGCCACAACTTCCCCTCACCCAACATACCAAACCACACTGGGTGTGCTATCTTAACAAAGGCCATAGAATCCATCGGGTCAGCTAGAAAACAGAACACATACTATTTAAACAGAGGGGATAGAGTGCTCAGCAGTGGATCTTAAAGTGGGGTCCTCAGACCAGCAGCATCTGCATCACTGGCAACTTGAAAGAAATGCAGATTCTCAGGCCCCGCCCCAGACCCACTGAATCAGAAGCTCTGGGGGTAGGGCAGGGCACTTCGTGCTTTCACAAGCCCCTCCTTCAGGTGCAAGCTTGAGACTGAGAACCAGGTAATAGGGAATTAATTAAACAGGTGTTGGAGAACTGAAAAAACAAAAAGGAGACCCTGAGGTAAATCACAAACCATAGTTTCAGAAAGCAGCTACCACCCCTAGGGCTCGTGAACCAGGGGAGGTCTGGAGTTACCAGAACCTAGAGGCTAAGGAAAGGCCCAGGGTGCTGGGTCTCGGACCACTGAGGAGATGGCACTGTCACGGGGCCCCAGGAGGTGGCTGTGGGAGTGCGGGAAGTCTGGGTAACTCCCAGTTGCGGCTGCCAGGAGAGGGCCAGGCGCCAGGTGGAAGGAGCAGACCCTCCTCTCCTGCGCTGTCCTCCCCGCCCCCACCCACGCTCGCCACTGGCAGAGACTAATGGGAAGCAGCTGACAGGCAGAACTAGAGCCTGGGGAGTCTTGACCCAGCATCACAAAGCAGAGAAAAAAGAGCTGGTTGGAAGCCGAGACACAACAGCTTATTAACTGGCACAGTCATCTCACACCAGCTTCTGAATAAAATTCAGAACAACAGCCCATTTGGAAGACAAATTATTTGGCAGTGCTAATGGACAACCAAACTAACAGTACTTGAAAAGCAAGATGACTCCAAGTCCCATATCATATTGTAGCCTTTGGCCAAGTCTAATGCAAAAAAACTTGAGCACAGAATATATGTGGGACCACACAGACCCTGTGCTTACACTATGTCTTAGCTTTGAACTTGTTGCAAAAGCAGGTGTTCAATAAAGGTTTTTGGATGAGGGACGGAAGGGAGTGGGAGCAATGTAAAGGAGCCAGCTCCAGATCTGGGTCTTGCAGGGGTTAAAGGCCTTAGTGTTTCCAGATCATCTGTGTGTGTTTTTAAGCTCCAAATCCTTATTTTTAAATTCCAGAGTTTTCAATAACTTTTAAAAACATGTGTGAGGGTCAGATGGACCCACAGTCTGTGACCTTTGGGGATGAAGTCACTCCTGAATCACAGACTCCCTGATTCCCCTTCAGTCTCCAGCAGTACTCTGGAGCGCCTGGGGTTTGGGAAAGGTTTACCTGAAGTTGTAATATTCATGGTGACCCCAGCTCTAAACCCTGAATGTGGAAGGGTGGGGGTTTTACAGCCCTTATCTCAAACACTGAAAGTGAGCCAATAATGGAGTGAGAGGCCCTTCATCTCCAGTGTGAGTCACATTTCATTAGAGACGCCCCCAGGGGGCAGCTCTCTTCCACCTTCTGCCCAGGTCGCCTCCCTCACAGTCAACAGAGAAGAATCCTTCCTTCTAGATCTCCTTCCCTTTTTCTACTTACCCCTAGATTCTCCCTTTCCTCGTGCTGATGTCATCGCAGGGCCATTTCTTCAGCTGCCTGGTCCTGAGGCATGAAGACGGGGAGAGGGAAGGGAAGGGAAGGGAAGGGAAGGGAAGGGAAGGGAAGGGAAGGGAAGGGAAGGGGGGTCCTCCTGCTGTCTAGCAGAGACCTTCCACGGCCCAGAGTAACAGTGCTCTGAGCCCCTCCTTGTGTTTCCTGCTGTGGTGCATGCCTGACTGTGGACAGAGAAAAGAAAGGGAACAGTGCTTTGGATTAGGCCACCAATGGTTTTGTTACCGGCCAGAGGACAAGACCTCCGTGCTTGTCTTCTTGGAGGAAAGATTTCAATCAAGACACAAAGTGTAGAAAAGCAAGCAAGAATTCATTGACCGCAGCAAGAATACACTTAGGACAGTGAAACAATGAAGGGCCTAGGCTGGGCTGCTTTGGCTCACTGGGGAGTCAGAGATAAGGGGGCCTTGGAGACAGGTTCAGAGGGTTAGCCGAGGAGGAGCTGCCACTGCCCACTGCTCCCCTGGTTGCAGGTCTCCTAAGGTCCCTTAGAGAAAAGAAGGGGGAAGGGAATGGAGTGGCCTTGCTCCACTAGGGGGGAATGAATGTGGGGGTCCTTCATCCTGAGCCTATTTATCTCTCTTGCAGGTGGAAATCTTAGGGGAGATCTCAAGGGAGGGCCTCAATAGAATAGTCATCATCTTTCCAGGTGTGTCCTTTCAGGGTCCTGGTCTCCACTGATTGGTGGACACCAGGGGGGTCATTAGTAAATGCAGCTGGTCCTAAGACAGCCATGGTGTCACTTGTCTGGTTTTGCTGCTTTTCTGGGCCTGGAGCTGAAATACAACTGAGGCCTAGATGTTACCTTTAAGGAGGAAACGCTCAGGGGGTCTAAACCAAATTACTAGGGATATGCTGGGAGAATAGGTTACCCTGGGGGCAAGGTTTTTGTTTCCCCAGTTTTGCCCCTTGCTAGGCACCTGGGGCTTTCTGCCCTGGTGACCTTCTGTATCTGGCCCATTGTCCTTGCTCTGCTCATGTCTGTCTAACCACCTATAACAGTTTCAGTCCCTACAGCTTGTTCATACTATGGCTCCATGGACCAGACGTTCCTTCCACTTCTCATGGCTGCCAGTTTGGCTCATCACATTCCTCAGCCTCCTTCGTGTAACATTCCTGCCCCTCTCATTGTTCCATGAAAACCACACGAGTCAGCTCGCTCTCTCTCCTCCTGTCAGTTATAAACGAGGTCTGAGAAATTGTTCCCCTAGTTAGGATTTTAGCCCTACCTTAATGGGCCCCCACAGTTCATTGTGGGCAGTGGTTCTCTTCCTGGACTGTACATTAGAATCACCTGACGAGTTTTCAAAACTACTGATGCCAGGTCCCCACATCACACTAATTTAATTGGAGTCTCTAGAGGTGGAGCCTGAGCAGTGGTATTTTTTAAGCTCTTGTAGGTCATTCTAATGAGTGATGAGTGTTGAGAACCATGGTGCAGGTGCACATATTTCATTTACTCAGCAAACCTGAGTGAGGGCTCACTCAGGTTTATAGTGGTCACTGTGATACCACAGTGACCACTGTTATAGTGGTCACTATGATACCACAGTCACCACTGTTATAGTGGTCACTGTGATACCACAGTGAATCAGGCACACAGTCCTGCCTTTGTGGGGCCTACAATATAGTGGGAGAGTCACACAAAAGTGTACAAGTAATTAAA